TAATATGAGCCGGCACGGTGGCATCCACACTGTAATCCCAGCACTTTTGGGAGGCCAAGGGGGGGGATCACTTGAGGTCAGGAGAGTTTGAAGACCAGCCTGGCAACATGCGTGAAAACCTCAGTCTCTACTAAAAATACAAAAATTAGCCCGAGTAGTGGTGGCACGCCTGTAATCCCCAGCTACTCAGGAGGCTGAGGCAAGAGATAATTGCCTTGCAACCATGGGAGGTGGGGAGGCATGCAGTAAGCTGAGAATCGCAACACGCACTCCAGCCTGAGGTGCATGGGGGTAAGACTGTCTCAAAGGAAAAAAAAAAACAAAAAACAAAACAGGATCATTTATGAGTAATCGACATGCTGTTTACTAGGCTCTTCTAAGCAGAGATACATCAACTAAAAGTAAGGCCACATTGACCGCTGTAAATGGACAAAGATGCCCTCCCATGCCTCTAGGTTTCGACGGAAGAAAATCTTTAATTAATTGGAATGTATATATTATTAATTGCTTTATGAGACAGTCCTCACTCTGGTCAACCCTAGGGCTGCGACCTGGAATTGGATAGTGATTCAGCAATCAACTGCAGGCATCCGCTCATAGTTTCAATCAAATCTGTGGCCTCAGCCTCCAGAGTAGCTGGGATTACAGGTGCCTGCCCACCACAAACCCAGTAATTTTTGTAGTAAGATTTATTTAAGTAGAGACGGGAGATCTGCACCAATGATTGGCCAGGAACTGGAATCTTGAACTCACTGATTTCACGGTGACTCTGGCCCACCTCAGCCTCTCAAAGTGCTGGGAATTACAGGACGTAAGCCACCATGCCCGGCCTTATTTATCAAATTATTAATATATTTATCTTGATCCATACATAAAACCTACCATTTAGGTTTAAGATTTAGGCTTAATCGCTATCATTATAGATGCTCAAATTACTATTTATATGGAATGGAGGAAGTATTATCAAATTTGTACTACTTCTAATGCAAGAATGTTTCCTAAAAATACATATTCAAACTCTGTCCAAAAAAGTATTACTGTCATGCCAGCTAATAAGACAAGACAACAAACAAGCCGAATCAACTTCCAATACTTCAGGTGCCTTCTATAAGTAGAATTTACCTTTGTGTTTTATAACATCACAGGATCAGAAAGTACAAGAAGAGATAAGCCCTTACTTAACTATACCTTCAAGGCAATAACGTCAACCATTAATAATTTCTGAGAAGACAGGCCATGCAGGAAATGAATCTTCTTTCATTACATAATAAACTTGCATGTATAAAGGAGTATAAGTTTCTCATGGCTACAATGGCTATAAATTTCAGCTGGGCACGGATGGACTCACGCCTGTTAATCCCAGACTTCGGAGGTAAGGCGGGACGGATCACTGAGGTCAGGAGGTTCAGAGGACCAGCGCTGGCCAACAAATGGGTGAACCTGTCGTCTACTAAAATTATACAAAAATTAGCCGGGGCGTGAGTGGCGGGTGCCTGTTAATTGCAAGGCTACTCGAGGCTGACGGCACATGAATCGGCTTAGGAACCCAGGAGGCAGAGGTTGTAGTGAGCCAAGATCGTGCCACTGCACTCCAGCCTGGGTGCAGAGTGAGGCTCTGGTCTCAAAAAAAAAAAAAAGAAAAAGAAAGAGTATGTTCTTTGTAAAATACTATAAACTTTTTTAAAAGAGAGCGAATGCTGCATTTTTCTAACCTTCCATTGGTAATTCCATTTCTATTACTTCATTGCTTGTGGAGGAAGAGTGGCTTCCTGAAAGAAAAATAAATAATATAGAACAAAGGGAGAAATATAAAAATGAAAAAAGAAATCATTGAATACAATGCAAACAATTCAATACTCACACAGGAATACACTTGAAATACTTCTGCCCCTTGAAATAAAACTGGCTGTGCGCGGGGGCTCACGCCTGTAATCCCAGCACTTTGGGAGACGGAGGAAGGTGGATCACCTGAGGTCAGGAGTTCGAGACCAGCCTGGCCACCATGGTGAAACCCCGTCTGCTAATTTAATACTTTTTGTAGAGAATGGGGTCCCATGTGTTGCTTAGGCTGGTCTTGAAACTCCTGGGCTGAAGCAATCCACCTGCCTCAGCCTCCCAAGTGATCCCAAGGCGCTTTTCCCAGTGCCTGGACGGAAACTTCAAATTACAGAAAAGTTGGCAAAAATAAAAGGAGTACAAAGATCCATGTACCTTTGCCCAGATCACACAATGTTAACATTTTACCCTGTTTCCTTGATCATCAGGATGTCTTCCCTCCCCTCCTCCTCTCCTCTCCCCTCCATCTGTCATCTATACAGGTGTATATACACATACTTTTAAGATTTTTTCCTGAACCATTTGAGGAAAGTTACAAACATCATGGC